ATGCCATGTAATAGCAGTTGATAAATTTTAGAGTCATGTTCTTCTAACACAGAACAAGAAACTTAAGGAAAAGAGGATTTCAGTCCTAAAAATATTATTTTTCTTCCACTTCACAGTACAGCTTCTGGGTCCTATTCTGTCTCCATTTTGGGACAGGTTTATAAGGCCCCTGGCTCATGTAAAGACACCATGGGATCTGATCTCCAATCTCAACAATCATGCTTCCTCTCATGCATCACATGCATGGCAGGAAGTACAGATTTAGAACTGGGGATCAGATCCAATTTCACCCTTTTTACTTGCCAATACAGGGGTTTAGCAACGCAGCCTGTCCCCTGAAGAGGGGGCAGCCAGCCCTACTGAATAACTGTAGGGAGACTGCTGATTAGGGAGTGGCTCACCGTGTGCTTAAAAACCCTGGAGAGAAGAGCAGTGGGATAGCAAGCTGAGGGGACAGCTGTGGTGCAGGTGATGGGCTAAGCGGTTGGCCACAGCAGGGGACAGACTGCTTTATAAAGGCCAGATCCACAGGGATCCCCTACTGGTGTCTGTGGCAGGACAAAAAGGTTGTATTTGCTTGTTTTCTTTGCTTAGAAAACTCTGTTTTATTTGTGGACCAGCTGAGGTGTTTCTCAGGGAGCAAGAGTCTGCCTGGAGAAGCCCACAGGCAAAGCAGTCCGTTTACAAAGGGGAGCCCAAGATTATGGTCCTGGGCATCCCCTGCACCAGCAAGTTGAAAACCAGGTGCCTGCAGGTACAAGGCCAGAGGCAACAATCCTGTCCCTGTCCCTGGGACTACACCATGGTTTCAGATGAACCCTGGTGCAGTCCTGATGCCTGGACCAACAGTTAGCTAATTGTTGGTTCTAGCCTGGAACCTGTATATACAGAACATTTTTATGCTTCTTTTGCCATTTTTTGTCACCTTAAATTGTGTCATACTCTACTCTTGCCATTTGTGCTGCGATTAAAATGTTCTTCACAGCATAAATGTAACTTGTAGAGGGGGCCTATAAACTAGGCAAGATCCAGGCAAGAAGTTCTCAAATGCAGGAGCCAAGTAGGGTCTATTTCAGTAGCCATATGCCACTAGCCTACCTCCACAATCCCTCGTAGGTGGTGTTTGGTAATCGAAAGGGTGCCTGCTCACAGTATTGAGCACTTCTGGGGCTTGAAGAGCTGCCTATAAATAGACCAGGTGACATTTGGAAAAGGATTTGAAATACTAGTGATTGGGAAAGGGAAAATATAGTGCCCATCTTTAAGAAATGGAAGAAGGAGGTTTCAGGGAACTACAGACCCATCAACCTCACCTTAGACCCTGGAAGAGTCATGGAGCAGGTCCTCAAAGGATCCATTTATAAGCACTTGGAGGAGAAGAAGGTGAGTAGGAACAGTCACCATGGATTCGCCAAGCGCAAGTCATGCCTGAATAATCTGATTGCCTTCTATGATGAAATAACTGGCTCTGTCGATGTGGGAAAAGCAGTGGATGTAATATACCTTGACTTTAGCAAGGCTTTTGATATCCCGCAACATTATTGCAAGCAAGCTAAGGAAGTATTAGTTGGATGAATGGACTGTAAGGTGGATAGAAAACTGGCTGGATCTTTGGGCTCAGAGGGTAAGTAGTCAATGGTTCGATGTCTAGTTGGCAGCTGGTATCAAGTAAAGTGCCCCAGGGGTCAATTCTAGGGCTGGTTTGTTCAATATCTTCATCAGTAACCTAGAAGGTGGCATGGAGTGCACCCCCAGCAAGTTTGTAGATGACACTAAGCTAGGGGGAGTAGTAGATATGCTGGAGGGTAAGACTAACATTCAGAGAGACCTTGACAAATTGAAGGATTGAACCAAAAGAAATCTCATGAGGTTCAGTAAGGAGAAGTGTGAAGTCCTGCACTTAAAATGGAACAATCTCATGCACCATCACAGGTTGGGGACCGACTGGCTAAGCAGCAACTCTGCAGAAAAGGACCTGGGGGTTACAGTGGACAATTAGCTGGATGAGTCAACAGCGTGCTGTTGTTGCAAAGAAGGCTAATGGCATACTAGGCAGCATCAGTAGGAGCACTGTCAGCCGATCAAGGGAAGTGATTATTCCCTTCTATTCAGCACTACTGAGGCAACATCTGGAGCACTGTGTCCAGTTTTGGGCCCCCCACTACAGAAAGAATGTAGACAAATTGGAGAGTTCAGTAGAGGGCAGTGAAAATTAGAGGTACACTGATACATCAGTCTGGTATTGGATTGGTACCAATATAAAGAAAATTGGCTGTACTGGATATCGGCCTGATGGGGCTGATAATTTGGCTGATAAATGCCTGTGCTGTGTGCAACTGAAGCGCAGCACTCAGGCAGTCAGGAGCAGAGCAGACAGTGTGGAGAGCTGCCTCCAGTTGGTAAGTCCGGTGGGGTGGAAGGAGATGGGGGCAGGAAGGGAAATGGGGGGGCAGATCAACATGCCATGCAGTGAGGGAGGGGGCAGGGGCAGGTGCTGCCCAGGCTGGGTGAGGCAGGGGGCAGAGCTTGCACCCCCCCACCCCACTCTGTGCCCTCCTGGGGTGCAAGCAGTGGCAGGAGCTGCCTCCGACCCATGAGCTGTGGCTTCAGCCCCCGCCTCCTGCCTCACCTGGGCAGTGCCTGCCCCTGCCTTCTCCCTCACCTTGGGGGACCTTGATCTGCCTCCACCCCCCTTCCACCATGCCGGACTTACCAGCTGGAAGCAGCTGTATCAGAAATCGGATTGGTATCGATCAATATGCTTCCTTAAATACCGGGTATCGGTATCAGCCACCAAAATCTCTATCGATGCACCCCTAGTGAAAATGGTTAGGGGGCTGGGGCACATGACTTATGCAGACTTGTCAGCAATGACATATTTCACTCCCCTCTATTATTGAAAGCTTTGTAAATGATACCCCAAATAAAATATTAGACTCTTTTAGTGCTCTTGTATACATCAGACTAACATTAGTGAGAATTAGTGTACTGCAAAATGACAGAAATGTGTTGATGCTAGACTTGTCATTATGATTAGTAACCCAGAGTGTCCTATGTTAGCAGCCTCAATATGTGTGCCAATTTTTTTGTGATTTCTTAGTTGGTCTAATAAAAGGTATCATCTCTGAACCAAGAGTTCTAGAGTTTTGCATTTCTTCTTGGTGTAAGGAAGGCATTAGCTCAGATTCACTGGTTAGTGTGCAGTATGAGCTGACATTGACCTCAGTGCAGGGTCATCTAATTAGGAGGTGAGTTGCAAATGTAAAATTCTCCTTCCTTATAGCTCAAGATAAGGGTGAAAATATGAAACTTCTTGCTCTTATTCCTGGTGTATCTGGACTGAAGTGAAATTTTCACCCCTACCTATCTGGAATTTGTTGCTTGTCTTTCTTTTCTCCCTCTTTACACTAGTTTCTTAAATAGCTATTCTGCTTATTACTGCCCTATCGCTGCATTCGGAGCTGACTCCTCTGTTGTACTTCTCACCTCCTCATTCTGACAGAGCAGTTAGCTTCTGACCCTTCTGCTCCCCTTCATTTCCGCTTTTGGTGAATAAAGCACAATTCTTTTACTGGTTAAAATCTTACTTTCTTCTTGCCGGCTCCTGCTTCCATTGTCTTATTTCCCTTCATTTTGCCTTCCCTTTTTCAGTTTATTTTATCCCCCTTTCAGCTAAACCTGTACACTATAGACAGAGAGCCAAATACAGGCCCACAGTTCATATTCATTTCTGACATCATTTTCTATTCCTGAGGTGTTCCTTAACAAATAATTTCTTTTTCATTTGATTTGCAGCTAACGTGCTGACACTGCACCAAACTTGTTTTGAGAATATTCCATTACATAGTATGTAATCTCTACTTCCCTCAAAAATCTTGCAAATATGACTTTCTTATTGTTAAGGCCAGAACGTGCATAGTCATCATCTGCCTCTTTTATGAAATTATGAGCTGCCATACTAAAACTGTATGGTTTAAGTTCCACATTTTGTAAGAGAGGGTATGAATTACAGTTGTAATGCTGAAAATTGAACTATTCCCCAGAAGCAAGGCCAAGAAGATTTTGGTGTGCTGGAGAACAATATTTTATATGCTGTAATTTTTTTTTTCATTGCAGTGTATTGTGTTTCATATATAGCAATGGACAGCTTTGTGTCTTGAATTTAGCTCCATCTAGGCAGGGAAACTGGATTTATAGTCCAAGTTCAATGAAATACAAGCAAAATAAATGCACAGAAAGCTGCCCTTTAGAGCATTGCTTATCAACATTGTTAAGACATTCATTCATTTTAAACAGGAAAATATACCTTTAAATAATATTTCTCAATGCCCAAGCACTCATTAATGTCTTGTATATTTAGGTTCCCCCTCTCCCCCCCCCCACACCTTTATAATATTTTTTCCAGCTTTCAAATGTATTCTTCACATGGAAAATAAAGTTTAGATGAATGAACAATTCTATTTGCCTGGAAGACATGCTGAAGTTGTGACTATTAGAAAACAAACATCTACATTTTTTGTATATAAAAATGAAATTTCTAGGATGTATATATACACTTTCATTTCTATTCAGTAAATAACATATAGATACATTACATGCAAAAAATGCTTCTTATTTTTCAGTTAGTACCTTAAGAACATCAAAGGGCATAATATGCACTGTAGTTGTAGGAAGAGCTATCTGATAGATGATATGTGAGTAGTCTGAGAAAATGAGATTGTAATGGAATTCTTGTTCAGGCTTCAGAAAACAGCTTTTTATTTATTCAGTTTTTTTAAATGCTTCATACACATTACAGTTTTTATTATTTTTTTGAAAATCTTTTGGCAAGCCAATAATGTTTCCCTGAATTTAAGCCTATTGCAACCTTTTTAGCATAAGGAGCATGATCCAGGGTATTTTTCAGTAGTACACTTTTAATGTTGTTTTGCTGAGGCATTTCTATGGAGATACAAACTTGGATGGTTGAAATGAATAATTTTGATTCTTTTCCCTGACAGGTGTATGAGGCAGTCCCATGCTACACTGAATGCAATCAGTATTCCTGGATAGTAGAGCCATGGTCTCCATGCAAAATCAACACTGAGCAAAATTCCCTACATTGTGGGGAAGGAATACAAACAAGAAAAATCAGGTGTGTGATAACAAAGGCAGTTACTTTAAATATATAAAAATTAGCATAAAAACAAAATAATTGGCCCTATGACAGTAAATATGTTATTCAGCTCAATGTTTTAGGTGAAAGGAGGACTGCGTTGACCTACAAAGGTTTTCATAAAAACACATCTCTGAGATGCAGTTTCATGTGTGTAAAGATAATGACTTCTTTGAACAACCTGCTTTACTTTCTGTATTACAACTCTTCCGCTGAGATTCCAGTTGTATAGAAAACCTGGCTAAACAGAAAAAAAAAGATTAATAAAAGCATCACACCCAGTTTAATATGATTTTAATGGAAATATTATTACTTCTAAGATTATTGCTGCTACTGGTATTCATGAAAATACTCAGACATCCCCAAGTTTTTGTTATTAATATTTGTGCAAAAATTTATGCTGGGACTCTGTCGTCTATTCTTCACTAGTCTGCTTTTTCGAATTTTTTTTCTGTCCAATCAAGGAGCAGGAACAATGATGTATGATCTAGATGACCTATTAAGTATTCACATTCACATGGCAACTACACAGAGCAGTCAAAATTAAAAGCTCACATGCCATAGTCTGAAGCTTATTTGTTACTATTCAACAAATAGTTTAATTGAATAACAAAACAGATATACAGTCGGCATCAATTCGCCAACCATTCATTATATTCATAATTAATATTATTTGTATAATAATTTAGCCAGTGTTGTGGAACAGAGCTTGAGTGTATATGCATTAGCTCACTTGAAATCAGATGAACACCTCTCTTGTTTTATACAAGGCATTTTCCGTCGGGTGAAAAAAAAATATTTATATTTTCCTTGTAGATGTGTAAATACTTCGGAAGATGGTGAAGGAGAGGCTGTGCCCAACATGCTATGTAATCAGTCTGAAACCCCTAATGAAGTTCAAAAGTGTAGCCTATACTGCCCCTATGAGTGTGTGATGTCTAACTGGGGACAATGGAGCAAATGCCCGCAGGTAACTATCTTCACGGTCTTTTTGGAGGGAATGTTTTCATGTCCGTTTCCCAATTTCCTTTCCTTAAGTCGCTTTATGCTCCCTTTCTAATATTCCTACATTCCAGCAGCAACAGCGAACAATTTTCTTGCAGGAAGTTGGGCTTAATGGATTCTACATCCAGCCTGGTTAAAATTTTTAAATGTCAACTATTCCTACGAAGCCTGAGCCTCAGAAAAAAAACTAATTAGTAAAATACACAGTGAGTATAATGTGACAGATGGCCAGATCACCTCTCCATTTGGTCTGGGGGAGGAACCGAAGCAGGTACAAAGAGAATGGAGAGCATCAGCTTCATTGCATATCTCCTGTTTTCTCTTAATCTCAAGAAAGCTCATCTCCTAAGAGGTGCATGCAGGAAAATGCTTTATACTTGATAGACAACTCTTGAGAGACAATCGACGAGCTCAGCCATAGTTGAACTGTGCGGTGCTGTGCAGCTCTGAGAAAGGAGGTACTGGGGCTGCACAGAAGACTGCTCCCGTCCGCGTCCGCCCCCCCCCCCAATAGCTGTAGAAAATGGCATTATCTGCACTGTTTCCTTTTATGCATCTTGAAACACCCTGGAGCCAGAAATTGGCACAACAGCCAGTGAGAAGACGGTGGCAGCAAGATCCCCACTGTGAAGAAGGAAGAATCCTATTAGTTGTTCAGAGGTGCAGGCCACTATTCAGCTGTCCTTAAGCTTTGCATATGTCATGAGTTCTGTGAGATTTCCTTACAAATTCCCCATTCTCAAAAGGATAAAAGAAAACAAGTTCAGTCTTGTTCAGATTCTTGGCCTGTGTGGGCATAGCATATAACAGAGTATTCATCACAGTAATTGCCCAGCTTTACTCTTGGTACTTTAAAGAAGAAGAAATAAGCAAGTTTTGTGTGGCTTTCCTGAATGAGCATACTTGCCTAGTGTACTTCAATGGCGATAAACATTCACAGATCTGTTAGGTGTAGAAGAAACGCTATCAAAAGTATGGACAGTTTGGGGGCAGGTGTGTCCATTACTGCAAGCATGGTTTTTTGCCTTCCACAGTCAGGCAGGTTTCTCTCATTTCTTAGTGTTTTGTGTATTGTGCAGATACATTCAGTCAGAACTGGTCAAATAAAATTGTGTATTTTAGTTCCTGCATTTGCCCCACGTACAGCACGAGAGTTGTGATTCAGCGTAGCACTTCACTCCAAATCCAGGTGGTTTCTTGGATGCCTTTTTTTATTCTTACTGTGGTACAGCCCCTATTCTTCTGAGCTGATTTCTTTCTTCACTGTGAGTCTCTTTAGGAATAGAAATAGATTGTCTTCATTTTAGAATTTGTGATAACCAAAAAGTATACATTTTGATCCTGACCGAGAGTTGCACAATGTACTCGCCACAGAAAGATGTTAACCCTGACATTTCAAGGCATCAGAAGTGTTGGACTTATTACAGTTTACTGCACAGAATATTATTGAATCTGTTCTACAATACTTTGCTGTGAATATGAGGCTGCTGTTTGCTGCTGGTGTTTGCTTTAAAGTTGCTTATTGATTGTTGCCTGAATGGTGCTTATTTGAAGTTTCACAGACAATATGAGGCCCAATCTTGAAGAACCTGCTATGGACCATAGTACTTACAATTATAATAGGACTTGATCAATAGGACTGATTGTATGAGTAAAGAAAGAGTTATAGGACTGGATTGCATTGTGCCTATGCATGCCTACAGACTCGCAACTAAGACCAGAACCAGTCATTGCACTGGAGTGGATCAGAGTACTTATGGAGAAACCAGGAGAGAGCAAGACTGATTCTAGCCTGGAGGAAATCTGCAATAGTGAAGAAACACTGTGGTCTGTACTTGTTGAATAACATCTTGGCCTGTGAACTAACAATTCCTCCTCCCTTGCAAATCTTAGACAGATTTTCGACGTCATGTAAACCAGCTGCATGATAGCTTAAATACACTGCAGTGAAGGAAAACCAGAGAGTATAACTTTTGAAAATTACATTCTGAATTTAAATAGCTGAACTGTACATACTGTGTGCATAATAACAGATGTGACAGCTAATGAGTGGGAATATTAAGTATAGACAGTACCTTGTCTGGTTTTGAGATTTATTAAATAATTCTTCAAGTACAACGTACTAATCTAACAGTAGCTCAGTTTTTTCAGCTTTATCACCAAGACAACCATTTGAGTGGTGACATAAAAGGAGATTCCTATGAGAGAAGCTACTTAGACTTCAAAAGAATAAAAGCTAGATTGAGTCTCTTTTATAACTGCCAAAGGGTGGGGTCTTAACCTTTGTGCTAAGAAGAACAGGAATAGACACCAGGTTTTGTCAGAATGGGTCAAAATAATTTTAGGAAAAGGCAATGTGGACGTATATGTGTATGTGTGCTGTCTGTTTTAATGGCTATCCTAAGAAGAATAGCTTAAGAAAAACACTTTCTCTCACTATTTTGTAGTAGTGAGATGAGAAATTATTTTATGGTATCAAACATAAAAAGGTTCAAGCACTATCCCAGCAAATCTGAGATCAGGGAGCGTCCTTTCATGACAGTCCTACTGCGAGAGCTAAATGTTAAGGGAAGCATTCTGTCACCCAACACACTCATCTAGCCGTTAAATATTCACTTTGTTGCCAGGTCAATGGGAATTCTATCTATAATTTGAGATGTAATTTTGATATCCCTCATTACTTCCATTCATTTCTGAGGGGTTAGTGCTAACTGTAGTACATACATAAAACATTGTGTACACTTGTAGTAAATATGGAAACAAAGATAAACCTGTTCTACAAAAGCCAGGTTATTATAGGTTTCTTTAGGGACCTAAGATTCAGCTAACCAACTGGGTGGACAGGCATACAGGCACTTTTAAAAATCTCTGTAGGAACCCATCTGTAGATTTAGGTGCCTCAGTGCCTTTTGAAAATCTGACTCCAAAGGGCATTTTTTGTTCCATCTAGTGATGGTCTAGGTGGATTTAGATCCTAAATGCTATTCTCGTCCATGCTTAATGCACCCGTTAACGTATCTACTTTTGTAACGTGCTGTCACATAACTATCATGATTGTCCCAAAAAAAGCAAGAACCCACTTACTTTTTTATTAACATTTTATTCAGACTAAAGCAAGGTAGAATAGAATCACACTTAGTCACATAAGTCCAGTTACATGCCTAATACCTGCAATAGAATTTCACCCCTAGAGCTTTTTTACACATGCAAGGGACACAGCGCCAGGTGCCCTGAAAAGCACCAGGTGCTGCAACGCTTACAATTGTATAAGCAGCGAAATGCACACTGGTGCAAAGAAAATGGCAGTGGTGCACTTTTGAACTAAAACACCTTGGAGGTTTTTTAGTTCAAAAGTGCACCACCACCATTTTCTGCATGCTTACGCTCATTTAGCTGGTCATACAACTGTATGCAGTGCAGCACAGTGACCATCACTTCGTGCACGAAGCAGACTCGATTAATCGAATTAATTGAAGCAGTGGATCTCCAGCAGGTTGCGGGACAAGAAGGTATGTGTATAAATGCCATATAAAGATCTTGGTGCTGCTCATGGCACTTCTGCTATCTAACATCAAAGATTATATGTACTGTACCTCTGAGTGGTCGGAAACCACATTGGGTCTTGAGTAAAATCTCAACAAGGAAGGAGAGTCTATTGGGCGGAGTGTGGGTTAAGATCTTTCCAACTGTAAACAGGAATGCAATACCTCAATGATTGCTGCACTCCAGTCTATCTCCTTTCTTGAATATGGTAATGATTCTGGCATCTTACATGTCAATGCAAATCTGTTCCAGATTTTCAGAATAACAACATGTAGTTGGTGAGTTTTTTTCACCTGGCTTATACATTTCAGCTGGCATTCCATTAGGACCACATGCTTTGTTGTTCCTTAACTGCTTAATAGATTTCAAGGCTGTGCGGGCCGGCTCCCGATCCCGTCCTTGCCAGGTGCGAGCCGGGCCCGTCTTTGTGCACGCAGGCTGTGGCCAGCAGCCCGGGCACGCGGGGCCGGAGAAGACCGCGGAGCGGTAAGGTACGCACGAGCTAGAATCAGTTACGGAGGCGTAATGGTTGATTGAAAAGATTATTTACTTACACCCAAGGTGGTCGCGGTGTAGGTTGGACAGCTTTCCAGGCGCAGCTCCGCTTGAATCCTCATTGGAGGACTCTGACAAACTCGGTTCTTGGGCCCCGGAGTGGTTTAGGCTCCGCGGGTTCGGCAATTCTTTCCTCACGGAGTGGCTGAATCTCCGTGGGTTCTGTTCGGTTCCCAGGTCCCCCGGAGCTGTTAAGACTCCGTGGGTTCAAAAATTGGGTATATAGGATAGGGATACGTCTAGGATTGCGCTCGGCAATGGGGAGAGGCTAGAGGCCGTTCGGCAGTTGGGCCCCCGGAGTTGTTAAGGCTCCACGGGTTCGGTTCAGTAATTAAGCCTCTATTGCCTTTTTAAGAGAGACGCGTTGGGTTCGAAGGGATCAGCAGCGCTTAGAGATCTTCGCACAGCGTGAAGTCTCCTCCTCCTGGCGAGTTCTGTATCTCTCCAGGTTTTCTCTCTCTCTGTGTGACCCACTCCGTGTCTCTCTCTCCCTGTCTCTCTCTCCGACTTGGGCGGAAACCACCCAAGCCTTTTATACGGCTAGCAAGCCAATCACTAGCCGCCAACTAGCCGCCACGTGGGCATAATTTAGATCTGGCCAATAATGTGGCATGAATCTAAATACAAATGGCGGGAACTCCTTTGCACCGTGCATCACTATAATGCAAAAGAAATGCACCATGCAAAGAAAGCTTCAAACTGGTGGGAAACACTCTTCTGCATGTGGGTTCTCCTATTGCAGAAAACTCCACCGTACAAAGGAGCTGCAATTTAGTGGGAACATAATTTAGCGGTGCCGAAGCACACACAAACAAAAAATCACAACTTTGGGTTGTGACAAAGGCCTCTGGATAAGTTGATGGACCT